TATATATATAAACTAAAGAAATATCAGTGGCTGGACATTGTGAAATGTGGTTCTTTGAAAAAGCATGAACCAATAATATCTTACCTGTTGTAGATCACTTTTGACCGATCTCAGTTTGGAGAAATAAAGTTTAATCAACAGATTGACCATATTAAAAAGTTTCACATTACTGTTAGTTTACATTACTGTTAATTTTTTTATTTACAAGCACAAACAGTGTCAGCAGTAGCAAGTTGTAGCACTTCTGGTTCAGTCTGGGGCATGAACACTCACTGGCTATTTGATACACCTGTTCAACTGCTTGTRAACACAAATAGCCAATTAGTCAATCACACGAAAGCAACTCAAATTTAGTCACCTAGATGCAGTGTGTAGACCAGGGGTTCTCAAGCCATTTGGGTCTGGGGACCCCTACAAGGGCGAAAAAATTCCAGGGACCCCCTCATAAACCTCACGCTGTTTTAAAAGACAATTTGTTGTCATTTCAACCCCTAAATGCCATGGGAATATATTTTAATTAAGTTTATTGTGTTTGTTTTATTAGTTCATTGTTCTCCATGCATTTTAAAAAATAAAAACCAAACTAACAATTTAGTGAAATTTTTTGAGGACCCCTAAGTTACCTCTTGCGGACCCCAGTTTAAGAAACTCTGGTGTAGACAACTTGCTCAAGTTCAAACTGAGCATCAGGTTGAGAGCAGAAAGAAGAGTTTAGAGATGTTGCACATAACAGGAGTGTTGGTCTAAGTATTTAAGAAGCTATTGATCTACTGGGATTTTAACACATGACCATCTCGGGGGTTTACAGAGGACGGTTCAAAAAAGAGAAAATGAGAAATGTGAGTGACAGCTATGTGGATGAAAATGTCAAAATTAGAGGTCAGAGGAGAACTGGCAGACCAGTTGGAGATGAAAGAACTCAAACGATGACTTTAACATAAAACAAATTTTGTGAAATTCCTGCTGGAAATGCTGCTACTGCCACAGAACTTCATATAAATATCTACTGCAAAACTGACAGGGGTGTTAAGTTTTACGAGATCACACAAACTTCTGTGAAATTCTGGGAGGCTGCAGCATCAGCAGCCCACTGTGGTCTTGGCCTGATTCAGACTAGTCATTATCTGGTCGGTCCTGTCAAACACAAACTCAGTGTCTCTGAACTGAGGTTGTTTAGCGAGCTATCTGCAACAGGTAAAATATTAGTTAATTCTGACTATTTCAGAATTTCCTACTTCAAAACAGCCAGAATACCTCCTTAATATCTCTACAACTCATCAAACATTTGGCACCCTGCATTTAGTGTCCAGCTGTAAAATGAAAACAAACTAACAGAACTGGCAAATCAGTCTGCATGACCTGAAGCTATAATAAAAAATGTTTTTTTAATTATTATTTTTTTAATGGAGCCCAGGATTTAGAAACCAAAGCGCTGGCCCTGTTTCACCGAATTTTCAGACGACAGCGTGATAATAGCGGTAATAACTCTTGAGAGGAATCATTACAGGTTCTGTGGGTTTCGTCTGTGATGAGAGTCATGTAGCCCTCTCAGGAGCAGGATGCATGATGGGAAATGACGTGGATGTCGGCATCACATCCAGTTCTGACAGGCACGAACACGCAGACGGACCGCACAGACCTGGAGGATGAAAAATGTATATCTAACGATTCTTTCTGAATTCTGTTATGACGGCTTGTTTTGTGTCGGCTTAACTTACATTTCTGGTTTGAAACTGTAACCATAGGTTATGCCTCATTCTCAATGGTCAGCACTGGGTTAGTGGCACCTGAACAAACATCCAAAATATTTAAAGTCAGTAACAGAAAGGTGCCATGAAAGGTTTGAATAGAAAACCGTGCAGGGATTTCAATGATCTTGCCCTTCTTGTCCTTGTCGGCTGCACATTCACTCTCTGACCAGGAGGGGGTGCTGGAGAGCAGCCGGCTCTGACTTTCTCTGAGTGGTTTGGAGGGAAACTGGCGGCACTCTGCTGCACTACAGCACACACAAACACAACCACTCATTTACCCGTTTCTTTCCATTTCTAGTAAGATAATAAAAAAAATGTTTGTATATTTTTTAAAGTGTGTGCACACCTCTTGCTGCCAGAGTTGGACCCGGTGGGTGATGAGGGCTGTTCAGGATCCAGATTCACCAGGCATGTTGGGAACGAGCAGCCATCGCCTAAACTGTAAAGCCAGCAGGAGAAAAAAACATCTCAGAACGATCTGTGGCATTTAATTTATGTTTTCTGTATGCTTCTACACAAACTTTTCTAGCTTTAGATAGATGAAAATAAAGGTATCAACAAAGTGGTAAAAATGAGTCATCAATTGAAAATAACTTTTTTATCACCATATTAATCACCAAATAGCTCCTGTTTTTCCTCCAGAACTATTAGGCAGCGGCTGCAAGGCCCCTGAGTTTGTTAAGATACTCCAGTTCATGTCTATAGACACACACATTTACACACACTGACAAAAACTGTTCACACACAAGGAATGGTCTGATTTGAACATAGTCTGGTCCACAAGCAGATCACTGATGGACATGTAGTTGGTATGATTTGCAAGGAGCTGGCACATCTAGAACAGCCACCAGAGGGTAAAAGTGTTGGTAGACAGCGTTATCAGGGAGTTGCTGGGGCATTAGACTGTCAACCAAAACAAAACCTGCTTTGTTGGATACATTAGCCAGACTACATGCATTTGTCCCATGCATAGGCTTGTACCCAGAACAAGGGAGGTCCACCCTGCTGACCTGGGACCAGCAGTGTGTCTGTGCAGCCATCTCTGTTATCCAAATGAGCTAAAATTGCAACCTTTTGTGCCATTCAAGTTCATTTCCACCCCTCTTATCTGGGTGCTTTACATGTGTTTTTTTTGTCAATGAATGTGGTTAAATTATACATTTAAGCATAAAATCTATGGTTTCTGTTCAAAAAGCTTTGGGTCTAAGTTGAAAAGAAGCTGTGTAATCACAGTGTTCAGTCAGCAGGCGTTAGTGTTGTTGCAGAGCTGGAGCTCCTGTATTGATTCACTGATGATGCTGCTGTTAATGCACTGCTGCTGCTTCTGTGCTCCTTGGGGACTTTCTGTCTTTTGTACCACTTTGTTTCAAAGGAAGTGGCAGGACAATAATTACCCAAACTGAACACTGACACCATTTATTTAGGACTCATTTGGCAGATTGAATTAGAATATATTGTGAAACCACAGAACTGCTGAATTTTATAATGAAAATTCAGAGGCAGTTTAATGTATAGGGGCAGCCTCACTGATCTGAGCCTAGGTGGTGTTTTGTTACTGGACTTTTGCGTTAGTTCCAGTTTTCCTATAACAAACACTGTTTGAACACAGGTGTGTCCATAATTACACTTGTCGCTTAAGCTCTTGGTTGCAGATCAATGCAGTCGACTTTGAAGTTGCGTCATCTGATCTGTGGACATATGTGAATCTTCTCTCAGGTGAAGAGTAGCTGAACTGTTAATTTATGGTGGGGAAAGATGCTGGATAGACCCGTTAGACCAAAACATATAGTGAGAGTTTACTGGGAACGCCTGGCAGAAGAATCTCACCTGGAGAAAATGGGAATGGGCCAGTATTTCACTTCATCACCAAAGACTTGACGGAAGTTCTTACTAAGGCCAAGACTAAACCCGTTCTTGTCTGTGCCGTGACGAAACACCGGAGCACGCACAGCCTCTGAAATGGAAAATGAAGAAGAAGAAGACGCATAAAGATTAATAAACACACTACCTCCTCAAACTCGGCCTGCTCAGGCTGACGACACCAGCTCATTTAGATCACCAGCACGGCATCAATGAAATACCTCTGAATGAACGTGTCTTTGTTGTGCAGATCTCCCACTGTTCCACCAGGTGTGACTTCTCTCTCTGAACTGCATATCAGTGTCTGTTTCTAAGCTGCTTACTGCTCTGAGCCTTGTATCTTTGCATTACACTGTAACATACTCCTCGGGATAATCCACTCTGCTCAACGCACAGAGACAAAGTGCACCACTGTGCACTCATAATGAGAAACCTCGGGCTGAGAACGGCCCCGAGCAGCCCATCAGACCTCTGCATCGATGAGGACGGTGATGGACGGAGATGAAAAATGCCAGGAAACACCCGTCACAAGCTAGATGCTACCAGACTGAGCAGGTGCTCAAATGCTCCTTCAAAAAAAGGAACAAAAACATAAAACACATTTACACCAACAGGCAGGGGAAACAACACATACCCAGGGTGGATCTGTTCTTGCAGACGAGCCAGCAGTGATAGACGAAGAGTGAAGCCAGGCTGACAGAGAACATGGAGGCAGAGAAGAAGAGGAACAGGATGTGGAACTTTGCCTGAGTGTCCGGGAGGTCTTTCTGAGGGAACACAAAGCATTAATCACTGATACACCAGAGCAGGCGAGGGCGAGAGGAAGGGCAGTCTACGCTGCTAAAATCTAAAAGCTAGAACTAGTCGGCTGATAATCAAAAAAATAAAGTTCAGGCACCCTTGGGCAGAATTTATTTTATTGTGAAAAGTTTGAACATGACTGTTTGTTTGTGGTTTGTATTTGAGATAATCTTTGCTGTGAAGTGGTGCTATATAAATAAATCAAATTACATGTTACAAAATAATACTTCTGATTATTTATTTTCAGTAATTGACGTCATAGAAAAGAACTGAAGTTTAGACCTAAATATAGGTTTTTGTGCTTTGAACAGACTAAACCTTTTGATTTTGATTCTGTCTTACATTCAGCGCAAACCACTGACTTCCTGTTTTGTTTGGTCACAGTCAGCAATATGTGACCCATCACATCAAAATGAAGATTAAGTCAAGTTTGGTCAAAATGACCTAATCATATTTTCAGATTCCTGACTTTAAAAGCTATATTTTGATACTTAAATCATCCTGATATCATTAGATCAGGAGAAAATATTTAATTTGTCTTGTTGGCTACAATAATACATAAATATTTGGTCTAAATCCTAATTTAATGTAATTTTATTGAGGATTTTGTATGTCATTTTAAAAAAGAAACCTCAAATAGTATTTGAATATTGAGATTTACCAGCTGGAAAGAAACAAAAACATTGCTAGCTCACAGGGAAAATCTCAAAATTTTAAGGCGTTTTTCTTCAAAATCGGGTTTTGTTATTGCTAATGCTCAAAAAAGTGCTTCAAAAGTTATTTTTAGGATATTTCAGACAGTTTATTGAAATGATACATTGATAACATATTTATTTGTTATGTTTTGACAAACTGTATATTTGCAAGTGTTTTAATCAAAATGTCTGTCTTTATCTACTGCAGGTCTACATCTTCTCTAGCCTGGTTTAAACCAGACCCTGTCCTTCACTTTGCTTTGTACAAGGGTCTGGACTTGCTGAATAGAGAAGCGTTTCTTGAAAGAGTCATGGCCTCTGCTGAAGTTTAAAATGATTGGATCAGTTGGCTGTGACGTATGTCGCTGTGATGAAGGCTAAGCTAAGAAGCTAACCGGAAATCGCGTGCACTGTACACAACCCTACTGAGAGGAGAAATATACAGAGCCAAACGAGACAGCTGTAAATGAGAGCTGCTGCTTTGTCAGACAAATTTATTTTAATTTGGAAGCCTTATTAGCACGGACTGGCTTCATTCACTTCCTCCACTGCCGTATGCTAAAATAACTAGCAGACACTGCGCAGAATATCGACGTCATTCAAAACTCCGCCTTCTGTTTGCTGATTGGCCCAGGTAAAATAAACTACAAGCAGACACTGGCTGTGTCCAAAACGGCAGGCCGGGTCCTCCGAAGGTCGAATTTGTCGGCTGCATACGTCACAGCGCCGCGACGAAGGACGTCCAAAACCGAAGACTCCTCCGATGCGGCCGACAAATACGTCCTTCCTTTGGCCCGAATCGAAGGACAGGTCTGATGGATCCTTCCCGGCCCAGCATATCCCATGATGCATTGCGGCCCGACCGGAGATTTTTTTAAGCTAGTAATGGCGGACGAAGCGAGAGAAAAGAATACATTTTAAATAAAAATATGGTGATATAAAAAAAAATTAGCGGTTGTAATTCTAATACTTTTATCATTTGTATGGAAATGTTTTTACATATAATTTTTTCGTCATAAAAAACGCGAAATAAACACGAACCTACAGCGGGTCAATTAGTTCTTCAAATGATACCTTTAAGTTAATTTTATAGTTTTGTGATATTAATAATGCTAATGTATTGATATTTTTCTAGTTTAGATTTAAGTTTGCTTGTTTAGCGTCGTCACAGTTGCTAGGTGACATGACGTACGCCGGGGAAAGGAGGGAAGGCTAGACCGTCCAAATTCACAGCCTCTTTTTTTCCGGTCTTCCCGGTCCACCAAGGACCCGGCCCGCCGAGACCGGGGAGTCTGGGTCCTCCGGAGGACCCGTCCTGCCGTTTTGGACACAGCCACTGAGACACTGCGCAGAAAATTGACGTTATCTTCTCTGATTGGCCCGGCTATAAATCTGCCAGCGAAATCCATCTCAATGGGAGAAGTCCCAGCAAGTAGGGGTCTCTGCGGACGAGTGCGGACGAGTGGGCGTGTCACAAGGAAAGGCAATTCTAAAGCGACACGCCTGATTTGACGGACTTTGTTAAAGGGACACACCTGACTGGACAAGCAAAAAAGGGGCGATACCGTACGGCACCACCTGATTGGACAAGAACAAAAGGGGCGTTGCTGTATTGCACCATTTTTTCTGGAGAACCCTCCTTGGGTCACATTTCTCCTGGTTAACCTTAGAGTTGGGGTCAGGGTCAAGCTGTAAAGAGATCAAGCAGGGTCTAAGGATACCGTCATGTAGGCCTCGTAGTCCACAGTGTTTATGCTTTAGACACGCCCACTATTATTCCGCAGATAACCCCTTCTCAGTCCCAGACGGAGCAGTGAAGGGAAACTAGAATTGAGCGGAGCTGCGTAGGAAGGCAAGGGCCAGGCTACATCTTCTCATAACTTAAAGTAATGAGGAATCACGGATTCTTTTTCTAGGAAGATAAATACCTCTCTGTAATGAAAGTGAGAAAACACACACACACAAAAATTTGCCAATTCAGTAGTTCAAGTTTTCTAAAATAAATGTTATTTATTTACAGAATAAAATAAACTACATATGTACAAACTAATGTGATTAATCAGGACTTTATGAGTTAAGATAATCCATTCAGGTTCCCTCAAAATAAAAGCTTCTCATCAGAAGTTTCAAAAATAATCTAGCTTAAAACTGTTGTTGAATCAAGGCTGAAGGTGACTTGATTCTAGACAAAAATAATTGCTCTTTGGCTCATGAGACAAATCTGATTGTCGGGCTGAATGTTCCTGTAAAAGGAAAAAGCTCAGAGGGACGAAAAATTACGTTTTCTCATCCTTTCCTTCTTTCGTTCTGTCAAGGCAAGTTTGTGTGTTGGTTTTCTAAAGAGGAGAAGCTAGGAACGACCTTGACTTTGGTTAGTACAGGAGGAATAGAAATTGTTTAGACTAAAGGTCTCTGCCATGGCAGAAAAACAATTTTGCACCTGTTTCAGAAATACAAGTTTTAACTTTGACAGACTTACACTGAGTGAAAAATGAACTGAAGTTCTATTGAATATAAGAAAATAATTTAAACTGAAATAAATCTAAAAATATCTGTCTGTGATTCAAACACAAATATTTTATCTAGGCATATTTCATAATAAAACACAGTGAAGTCACAATCACAACGATCAACTTAGTTAAACTGAAAAAGAAAAAGAAAAACACAATCACTTTTACAGTAAAATAGTTGATTAAACAAGCATTTGTGTAAAACAAAGAAACATTTCAACAATTTTCTTCTTGTGTTTTTTTCTTTATCTTAAGTATAATGTAAAAGATTAATTGTTACTCTTTTCATTAGGTAACGTTTGATTTATAAAATGACAATAACTTGTAGCTAAAAAGAAAGTATAAATC